CGAATTTGACACAATTCCATAAAGGCCCTATAAAGGTCTTATACCTTCAGTAAAATTTTGATGTAATATGTGTTTTGAAAAGAAAATTTCACGCTCTTTCCATTGGTGCCAACAGTTTTGAGAGAAAAAATTCTGCCAAAACTTTATCTTAAAAGTTACAAACCAAACTTGAAATTTCAAGAAAATTCTAGCTTTTTTCGGTGTCTGACCTCGCAGCTCGGCACCAACAAGCCAAAATTAAAAAAAACTTATACATGTTTGTAAGCAGAATTTAATACTCTAAAAAAATGACAAGAATGATTTTTTTCACTGGATGCACTAGAATCACGCAAAATTGGGGAAACGCTGACGAAGTCAACAATCAATTTACACGTAATTTCAGTCGGCCGCCATTTTGTTATAAGCAATTTTGACTGTGTTCCCGAGGGGGGCTAATGGTAAACTTTTTTTGGGGGGCTCCAGACATGTTTTGGAGCGCTTTAAAGTACAAGAGAAGTTTGTGCTAATTTGTCCGAGGTTAGGCCCTTTTTTTGGCTAGAATGACTGGACTAATTTGTAAAATTTGAGGTGGGATAATGGCGGCTTCTCAAGAGCACCGAGGTAGGCGATCTTTTGCACCAACGAACAGAAAACTGATGGCGAAAAGTAACCAATCGGAACCTCCCAAAAAAAAGAATTTGCCTAAAATCGGAACTTCGTGGTTCTGCGCAGATTTACCAGTCAGACGCGACATCTCAAGGAGAAAAAAAAACTCGCGGAAAGCGAATTTTAGAATTCTACACAACCTGACGTAGAGACATGATTGGCTAAAAAACACAACGATTTTTGATACATCCGAAAATGAACCAAAAATCGAACACTGGGCGAAACGCTCAAGGTCGCAGAGGCATAGGGAATCCCATAGCGATAGCAACGGAACGATTCTAATATCATGGGGAACTCCGTTCCCATGACAATATATGGTTTTTGAGAACTAGCACGCACCTTACACATTAAAACTCAAAATAATAGACTGCTTTGGCCCCAAACTGTTTATGTAGTAAACAAAAGGTTGCTTTATGAAAAGATTCCATCACAACTAAAATACTCCAATAAAGTAAACTTTCGTTTTCGCAGCTAAAATTTTTCCTGCCGCGATAAGTCGCTTCCTTGAAGCAACAAGCATTTTTCTGAGAGGGACACATTGGCCAGCGACCTGATCGTAGAAGTTAATGTTTACACTACAAGAAATCGAAAATCGATTCATTACAGTGCACAAATAGGGCTATGCACTGTCTTGTCTTATCTTGCCGGTGAATTCAGAGATGAAATACAAATCATTTCAATGATCGGGTTCAAGGCTGCTGACAGTTTTCTTAAGACAATCAATTTTTCCGAGTTAATAGAAAAAGCAAATTCAAGACAAATTTAATTATTAAAAACACGTAATGTCACGAAATTCCGTCATTTCCTCTCTTTTTCCTTCACTGCAGAAATGCTAAAATACGATCAAATTCAACATTGAGGTTATACATTGCACTTAGAATTGAAGAAATAAAAGGTTAAAGCCTCTTTTGTTAGCAAACAGAAAGAGTTTTACAAGAAGTAAAGGATTTATTCTGATACAAAATATACTTACTATAATTAAGGACATGTTAAAATCGCTCTCCGGAATAACGCGAGAAACTTCCATATTCTGTTAATGTTCAGTGTTGATGAGTCATACATCAAGTTTTTTCCTGAGCTTTTTTGGGGAGGAGGAGGCACAGAAAAAATTCACTGATCGTTAAAGGCTGACGATAAAACACGTAAATCCTAAGAAAAAAAGAGAGCGCAAAAACGTTACTCTCCCGGAATTCCGAGTCATTTTAGTAGTAATTTTTCCTCTTGAAATGGGCTGATGATGATAACGTTTTCTGCGTATGACGTCCAATTTAGTCGTTTCAGACATTGTATCAGGTGAATCGATCACATCCATTTAAATCTATCAAGCACCGACGGTTTTTTGGTAAATGTGACTCACATTTAAATGTTTTTTTAACCTCGCATTTTACAAAATAACAACTCAATTTGGGGAAAGGCTGCAAAAGGGGATCAAATCAAAAGAGAAACCCGGAACATCAAAGCGAATCGATGACTCATTCTTGTTTCATTATTGTTTCCGGTTGATTAGGGAGTTGTAACTATTTCGAAACGTTCCGGGTTTTTCTTCTGATTTGCCCCCCTTTTGCAGCCTTTCCCCACATTAAATGGAGATGTTGCATATGTGAGGAATTTGAGATATGACTATTGATTCTTACGTAAAAGTTCGCGAGAAACCCGACGGTGCCACTGGTTTTCTCTAAAATCAACTCCCAAGCTCAAAAAAAGCTCTCAAGTTGGGGCCAAAATTGAGGGGATATCCCACGCTATCCTGAGAGTCCACCTCTACATCAAGACCAACTCTCCATGCAAAGATAGGGAGAAAATACATTGACAGGGCTGCCACTTTATTTGGGGACTCTAAAAGTGAAAACACGGCTAATGTACATTATTTGCTTTCTATCTTTGCATGGAGAGTTTGTCTTGATGTAGAGGTGGACTCTCAGGATAGCGTGGGACATCCCCTCCATTTTGGCCTCAACTTGAGAGCTTTTTTTGAGCTTGGGAGATGATTTCAGAGAAAACCAGTGGCACCATCGTGTTTCTCGCGAACTTTTACATAAGAATCAATAGTCAAATCGTAAATTCCTCACACATGCAACATCTCCATTATGTGTCTTTGGCAGATTTAGTTGTTCTTCATCCTCGCATTTTACACTGATTGATGACCTCATGATTTTGTCTCTGTGCAGGAAGCATACCTCAAACTACATCGGGCCGGTGGGCGGGCTCGTGGCGAGGATGATGGTAGGCGCCCAGCTCTACTTCAACCTCTTCTTCTGCAACGACAAGCACTACGTCTACTACCTCACCTACGGCGCATACTCGGACGCCTGGTACGAGGACAACGTGATCCGGGTCTCCAAGAAGTGCCCCGTCCGGGCACCGCTGACCAAGGACCTCTTCCGCAAAGTCCTAAAGGCCAAGACCTTCACCCTCCGCGATGCTTACGACCGGGAAAAGGTCATCTCGGTGAAGGACTGGAAGGACTCGCGCTGGTCCCACCCCTTGCGCGTCAAGTTCAACCCCAAAGACGAGGTCAAGGAGTTCACATCCGCGGAGCCTGCTACGGAGGTCAAGTCGCCCGTGACCTTCCCTACCCGACGGCCTTCCGTTCCTCCCAGCGTGGATATGCCCATCGGCGCCTAGGTATCGGCCATCGAGGAAGCTCCTTTGCTCGCGTTGGTGAGCGTTGAGTTTTCTATTTTGGCACAAGTGGAAAGGTCACGAAGCTCCAAGGTAACATGGAAGTGCCTGGAAGATTTTCACCACTCACCTGGAATTTTCTCGCGTGCCTTAAGAACGCCTCTCTTGTGCGCCCGTCCGAGTGGAGACGTTATTTGGAGAAGGCAGGTCGAGCAATTACATCGATACCCTCTTAAACCAATTTTTGAGGCGTTTTTAGCAATTAACGCATTTTTCGCACGCAAAGAGTGTGTAGCAACAAATCAAGTTTTAAGGGAAATGAAAGCTCAAAACTCTGTTTGGCCGATGTTTGGACACACTGGGAGACGTTTTTCCTTTAGAATGTGTTTTAAACTTGGTTTTCTTTTTTTCTCCTCTGATTTTACTTTCTACTACGTACAAACTTCCTATTTTTGGAATTGTGACGTCGCGCGTCGTAAGGATTCAGAGTACGTGTTTTTAAGGCGTAAGCTGCTATACATATGCCTTTTTTCATAAAAATGTCTCAATTCGAAAGCATTTTTCGCAATTTTTGAAAGCTTTGCCCCCTTCCAAGGAGGTTGCTTTTTGCCAACAGTTTTTGTTCCAAAGGTTTTGCCAAAGATGCCCGTGAATTCAAGCAATTTTAAAGCAAAAGGCTTTGCACAGCACCATTTTGCAGAATATTGAAATATATTTAAATCCTACTACATATTTAAAAACTACCAACGTTGAATCTTTAACAAAGGAGAAGAAAAATTTGAATATTTCAATTTCTCTCAGAGCTATGCAACATGAGTATAGTACTTCAAAGCATTGAATCGAGCTTTTATTTTTGATCGATATTGCCTTGAAGAATTGTTAAATTATTCAGTAATATCAAAATGTTGATTTTGTTCCTTCAGTGCACCGATTTATTATCCAACACAACTCTTCGTTGGAAATTCAAATTAAAGTTTATTAAAAAGTTATTAAATCAAATTAAAGTTTATTTTAAATTATCGGACGTATCGTATGAACCAGACGCAGTACTTACATAGATTTGTAAGATGTTACCTCATACCTAAAAAAGAGAGGCTTCACAGCGTATCCTCCCAAAAACAGATCCTAATTTGACCGATCACAGCCTTTCGTACTAAGCTTTTAAGAGGTCCAATTTTTCAGCCTTAATTTTTTTTAGTTTAAAGCTTATCGTGATTTCTCGCTCTCTAAAAACGGATCGTAGACTAAGTGCATATTTTGCTCTCCGTTTTACGTCAATGTGATATCAGAGTAAATCACCTCCCAACATTTTCAGCCCGACTGTGCTTAGGTGCAGAAAAAATACGAAATATTATACCTACTTGAAACCCAAACATGAATATCGATATGCTGTGATTAAATTTCTCACATTCGCTTTGTAACTCATTAAGCATAATTTGTGTCCATTTGAAATAAGCAGTACAGCTGTAGAATACTTTTGATCGAAAATCAGAGAAGAATAAAACCATATAATTACTGTTTAATTTTAGCATTTAATTTCTTTCCTGGCAGTTTACGAACATTTTTCCCAACTTTTTAATTTTTTTCCTCCCCCTCCTCCTCCTCATCCATCTCCTTCACCTCTATCTCCTGCTTCTCATCCTTTCCCGCCTTTTTTTCACTCTTCTCCTTCCTCTGGCACCATTATTCCTTCTCCTTTCTCTTTTATTATTTGCTCCGTTTTTTCACGTTAAAAGAAGAGATATTGGCTCAGGCCTGATTATTGAATGAATAGATCATTCCTGATTGGACGTATTTATGCTGAAAGGATAAGGTTAGCGCGCAATAAAGCTCCATTTAAGCATAAATACGTCCGATTAATTTCAGCCGGACCTCAATTTATGGGCAATGGGCCACAGAAAATCAAAAAGCGAGGATAAGGGTTTCCATTCAAAAAAATTTCAGAAGACAAGAAAAATTACACAGGAGGAGGAAAAACATTACTTCCTCGCCAAAAACTCAATTTCGAAAAAATCCAACCAGGCACATTTTTTAAATAAACGGCTCAACCATACCTCAGTCATGAATAGTTGGCGCCAAATTATAACTCGAGTCGAGCCGGAATAAATAATAAATGACCATTTTACCTCGAAAAAGAGGGTCTAGCCGCGAAGAGTCAGCTCATTTCTTCTCACACCACTTCTTCTATATCTAAAAAAATTGTCTCCATTCAACCCTATGGTATCAGAAAGAACCGCTTCCATCGCAAAGTGATAGTATATCTTCCAACGGTTCATTTTTATGAATCAAAACTTAAAATACTTGTGTAAAATTGCAACTGTATCAAAAAGGTAGTCGCATTAAGTTTGGTACATATTGCAATATTTAGAGTCCGCTTTTTTGCTAGGTGGTAGCTGGGCGATTCGATCTAACATTGTGACCCATCGGAGACTGTGATAGTGATTGTTGGGGTTTGAATTGACTCCGGTTCGTTCTTCGGCGGACTACGCACGACCTCCAAAGATTGAGTAAACTTTGAAATGTCCTCCGTTTTCTTCTTCATGAATAGTTTATTCAAGTGAATGATCGGATACTCTAGAGTAAGTGACAGAACGGCAGAAGCAAGAAGCAGGACAATGATTTCAAATGCCATGGCCTGCAGCTGTAACACACATCGAAAGAAAAAATCATGATAAATAAATAAGTAACCATCTTATAAAAATTATGGACATTGACATTACAGCTGCGCTTGTGAATTAGAGGACGATGGTCAGAGAAGAATTGTTAGAGCTGCGGTTCATTGACGCAGGTAATGAAACATTTTAGATGAACAACGTTGAAACCAGTGGCGAACGAAACAAAATGATCATCGGATATCGATATTTTCCCATCTGAAGCTATTGAAACCCTGATAAAAATTGGCAGTAGAATCTGTGTTCCAAAATACCATAGACCTACAGCCGGCTGTAAGATTTCCAATAGCTTCTATAGCCGGCAACACAATTTCTTATAGCCTTTTATAGCCGATGGCGATTAAGCAACAGCCTGGTGATAAAGTGTTTGCTAAACGTTACTATAATTACGGATGCTAGGACTTAGTGAGTTTTTGGACTACCTACCGCTCTTTTTGGGCCGCAGTATCTTGATTTAATTTGCGAGGAAAGCTCCGTACTTTTGAAGGATGCCTGCCATTCCTAATATGTTGGAGCGCCTTCAATTTCGTATGATACTGTGCAATACTTCTGGTGTGAAATAGTTGCTTCAAGCGCCGTGGTACGCTGCGGCGCGGCGGGCGGGCAGCCAGCGCTGAACGCGCATTGGCGCCTACAAACCTAACAGGGATACTTCACGCATTGCGCAATGCGTGTAGTATCCCTGTTGGGTTTGCAGGCGCCAGTGCGCTGCCGCTCCGCTTTGTGTTAGGCTCTAATATTTAATCTCGCGGAGTCAGCGTTTTTCAACTCATGACTTTGAAATGTATGCACACTCTGTATGGATTATTCTCATTTTAATTGATGAAAAAAAAATATATAGTAAAGGAAAATATAATGTGCGTTTTGTAAATATTAAGGTGATTCCGTACAATCTTAAGGATTTACAAAGCAGAAGAATTTCTACACAATTTCTTATAGCCTTTTATAGCCAATGGCGAAAAAGCAACAGCCAGGCGATAAAGTGTAAAGCCCGGCGATAGGAACTATAGCCCGGCTGTATAATTTTTTATCGCTTCGTGTAGCCCGGCCGTATGATTTTTCTACTTTCTACAGCCAACTATGATTTTCTATCGCCCTCTTCAGTCGGCTATGAGAACTCTTATGGTATTTTGAAACGCAGCTCCTATCGCCAATTTTTACCAGGGAAGAATCGATTATTAAGGTATACCCTAATAATCGATCATTTTACATAGGTTTCAATGGCATCGATTCATCGCAAAGCACGACACTACTAGTTGAGATCTGCAGCCTGATTCTGCGACTTACACCAAAAGGAGCGATCTTATTGGTAGGTCGCCAATTTTAACTGAAGATTAACTTACAGCTAGGAACACTTTAAGTACCTGTTACAAAATTGACAATAATGCTTCTGAGATTACACAAAATCAGAGACCCAATCAGATGCTTTCATTTACGATGATTTACAGAATCAGGTTGTAAGTTCAATATAATTTATGATTATTTTCAGACACACGTACGAGTTTTCCCCTCATAATTGCTCTAATTAAAAGTCGCGTCTCAACCATTATCCTCATTTCATTTATCGGTAATCTTTCCCTTAAGTTGAACAGACTTTTGATTTGTTGACAAAGTTTTAAAATTAAACGCACGCACTTGGAATTAGATCAGATTTTTTACTCTTTTCAATAAAACTAATCTCCTGTCCCGAAAAGTCATCTCTATTCCAATGTTCGATTTTGCGTTCCTACGTACATGCGGACCCAAGGTCCCATTGATTGCACAAACCGTCTCGAATTTTGCTATTATCGCATCTTTTAAAGGTTATACGAGGGTCATCCAAAAAGTAAGTTCACCCCTTTCATATTTCCGAAACTAAAAGGGATAAATCAAATCGGTAAAAAGGAACTTCTTACTTGTATCCTCAGCTCTCCATAGGTACCAAGATTTTTAAATTTGGACCACTGGTTGCCGAGATATTCGATTTTTACGTGAACAACTCCCGGCCAGTTCCGTCCACCAAACGACGCGCTGATATGAGATGCACCGCGCCCTGTCGCGTCGCTTTTGTCTTCTGGGATTCTCAAGGAGTACTTCTCGTCCATTATTTGGAGAAAGGGTGTACAATCAATGCACCACGGTATTGTGGAATATTGAATTCATTACGATTGGCAATAAAAAATAAGCGACCGGGTCTCTTGTCTCGTGGTCCCCTATTCCCTCACGATAATGCCAGACCTCACACGGCGAAAGAGACCCAAAAAGTGTTGGAAAAATTTGCGTGGGAGGTGTCACCTCATCCTCCATACTCTCCAGACCTTGCCCCGAGTGAGTATCATCTTTTTCCGCAACTCGAGAAGCACCTAGGTGGCCAGCACTTCGAGAACGATCAGCAGGTGATGGAAGCAATCGATGGCTGGTTCAAGAGTCAACCAAAAGTGTTCTTTGAGAACGGCATTAAGAAGCTTCAGAAACGCTATGAAAAATGCATCAGTAGGAACGTAAATTACGTCGAAAAATAAGGTAAGATTGTTTTAAAGCTAATCTTAGAATATTTGAGTTGGTTATTCGTACGTAGATGTGTGGGGAACACAGTCAATTCAGGTAGCGTGACGGGAATCGCAGCGCGTCGTTTGGTGGACGGAACTGGTCGGGAGTTGTTCACGTAAAAATCGAATACCTCGGCAACCAGTGGTCGAAATTTAAAAATCTTGGTACCTATGGAGAGCTGAGGATATAAGTAAGAAGCTATTTTTTACCGATTTGATTTATCTCTTTTAGTTTTGGAGATATGAAAGGGGTGAACTTACTTTTTGGATGACCCTCGTATAAATGGTTTTTAAAAGATTTAATTTTTTTTAAACAAAATTTCAAAACTGGAAGCATACTAACATATAGAATTACTAGGTATCACGGAAATTTTATGCATTAGATTAGGCAAAAAGATTATTCCTGGAACCGTCCCGTGAGTGCACAGTTATTAAAACCTTGAAGCCTTGGATAGACGAGAGAATTTTAAAGCCATAGGTCTGCGGCAAAGTTGTTTTTTACTCAATTGCAATTTTTGCCGTGAGGTTTCCAGAATGAACTGCTTTCGATGGTGTTAGGGTCCGAAAAAAGAACGGGGAAAACTGCGTTACTCACATACCTGTACAAAAAAGGAGAAGTCGACGATCCCTTTTTTACATTTCTTTTTCAATTTTCCCCCGAGGCATGATGACATTATTGATTAAAAAAGATACGAATATTATATAAGCACTCGTAGCATTACCAAGGGCATCGCGGGACTTGCAGAGATGAAATAAAAAAAGAATCTTGCTACTGAATCCATTCGAAAATTCTGTTGGATATTGAAAAGAGCAAGGGCAGCGCGTGGATTGAACTTGGGGGCCGCATTCGAAAAATGAGAGAGGGATTTCCCACAGTCGACTGGGACCCAGAGGTCCTCTCCTGGAAATATTTTAAAAATAGGTACCCCTAAATCCCAATTTTTGGTCGTTTCCAAGGTATGTATTATTTATTACGTTCTTTTTATTTATTATAATTGTATGTGATACAAACTTTTAAAATATGCCCAATTTCGCAGGGCCATCGGTGGATTTTTTAGTGTTTTTAGTGATTTAGTGTAATTTTTAATGTCAGCACTGAAGAATCCCCATTTAAGGGGCGAAACGCGTTTGCAATGAATTTCAATAACAAAGGAAGCCAGAATTCTCGTAAATAACTGTATGATTATGTAACATTTATCAGTTGTCTCTCAATTATTGGTGGTCCTAAGGGAAGATATTTTAGTATCATCCTTGGATTACTCCTTGAAGTAAAAGCGGAGTTTCATGCTTCAATTCAAAGAGACCTTTTTGTTGAATATGTTTGAATCTTTGATTGTGATTTTTTCAGGTGTATAAAGCCGGCTAGAAGCTATAAAAGGATCGACGCATGGAAAAAAGGAACTAAAAGAAGAGTTAAGAGGGGCATTCAAATGATTTCATCACTTACCATATTATAATATGAGAAGTACTCAGCGGTGCGTCTCGTGGCAAAATCGTATTCCATGCAAAGAATGTGAATGAGGTAGAAACTGAAGGTTAATCTGCTCAGGATCTGGAAGAGCTGCAGTGAAAGAAATCGGTTTACGAAACCTGAAATGAATTTGTGAGCAATACAACTATATTACTTTATGATTTTAATAAGATTTTTTGGTGAGAGCATTAAGGATAAAAAAATCAGCCTAGACTCAGTCATTTCAATGCTCAGTTACTGTTATTTTTTTTCTTTTTTACTACATAGTATAGCTTATTACTGTTCAAGCTTCGTTTTTATTTTTTTAAAATAGATAAGTCCAACCTTACTACGCCTACCCGCCGGGTGGGATGGAATTGGACTACATTTTACAACGCGGAACTATAATTTCTCGCTCATCAGTAAAAACATTAATGTGCATAGGGGAAATAGTGGTTCATACGTTGTTTCTCAACTGAGCCAGATATTATAGCTCCGAATTGCAAAATATAGTCCAACTGAGATTAGAATTTCATGAGCACGGTTTATTCACCTCATTATGTTGTGGTATTCTTTTGAGTATTAACTCTTTAAAACTTGGATATTATTACCCAAATTCGGCCTCTTGTCTTTGCTCGCCAGACATTTGTTCAGCACTTACCTCCGTAACCTTGATCACAGACAAATATGACCCAGGAAATAGCCAATACGAACAATGGCCGATGTAGAGAACTGTACAGAGCTGCGACGAGAGGGCCTGAACCAAACCAGTAGTAGAAAGTCAATCCGTAGGGCACTGTTACCATGATGATCATCGAAAGTGTCCAGCCAATTACCCTTGGCCACTAAAAGAAAGTAAGTCAATGCAATAAGAAAACTTACGAACATTGCCTCACAGAGATTGAAATACATTTCCCTCGAGTTCCCTATTTTTTTCTTTTCAAAGTTTTTGTATCTAAAAATCTAATACCATGTTTCTCTCCAATTTTTTTAATGATGTCCCGTAAATAGACCCGGCCGCTTTGCATTATGGAACCACGATTTTATCCATAAACGCACCTATCTTGATAAGGAAGTTTATGACACATTATGGAGTTATGGACAACATTTTGCAATGAGGTACTTCTGTGTCCAGCTCATTTCAGAAAGAACACGAGTGATGCTTTTATGGTTGAGCCGAAAATAGTAGTTCTCTATCGCAAAATGTAGGCCATATGTTCGTGATTCCTCATTTTATAATATTGTCTAAAACATGTGTCGTCCATAAGAGAAGGGATTTTAGGAGCAAAAACCTCGCAATATTGAGCGATTGGTATCGTCACTCGCGGGGTGTTTTACAAAAAAAAATTGGTGTAAATACTTAACATTTTAATGGCAATTTTTTAGGCCTTAAACTCTTGGATCATAATGAAATTGTGTGCTCATGGTCTTTATTTGCATGAAGATGATCAGACCGATGGTGCGTTATTGTTTTGATTACATTGAACTAAAGGTCTCGGTCAATAAAACCATGAATTTCAATCTCTAGATCAAACTTGAAAAAAGTGCCTCTCCTGAAAGATCCTCTTCATGCTCTCGGGACTTAATCTCCGTGAACAAAAACAACAAAGAATTCTTATAAGAAAAGAAGTTGAAGAGTTATTGATGAAATGTGAAAAAATTGATTGATAATTTTACAGGACCAAATTAATGCACCAAAATGAAGAATACTTTTTTTGATGGTATGCAAAAAAAAGTGTGTCTCTTGCTCTTTTATTTGGGGAGCATATCGATGGTGAAATTTACAAACCATAATTGAAGGGCTTGGCGGACAAGGCGCATAAGTGTAGTTTTTGAAGAAATTGAGATATTGATAATTTCAAGTTTAACTAGTCTTAATGCACATTCTGTGAAAAATTCGCCCCAAATTCCAATTTTTCAGCATCAAAAAGTCAGTTTGAACTTTTTTTCTGCCCTAAGGATCCATGTAATTACGAAACTTCAAACACGTATTTCTCTAAATAGCAAAAACTGCACTTGTGCGCCTTGTCTTCCGAGCCCCTCAATTCTCGATTCACGACGTTACAGACCTCCCGTCGCACAATGGATCGAGTCAATAGAGGAGGTCGGATAAAATTTGGACACTTTAAACGTTCATGACTCCGTTTATACAAAACTTGGAGGTTCTAAAAGTGTTTTCATTGGTTTCCTCGTGAGATTTTCTTCGATAAGCACCCCTTGAAATTTAAAACTTGACAAAATAAACATCAAAATTTGCAAATTTGGTAAATAAATTCTTGTCCGACCTCTCTCATTAACTCGATCCATTGTGCGTCGTATCTTGTAATTTCAGTTGGACACTATCATACTATGTGATCTCTTGAAAACTTCTATTCCGCGACTATACTCTTCTATACAGGTTTATCCAAAAGTCACTTATCAACCGTGGATGAAGAATAGTCTTTGAAATTCTACGAACCAGTATTCCATCAACATTCTGACATTCTGAGTGAGTCAGCATTTTGACTCATTCTTCCCTTACAAAATGAAATAGGACAGGGAGATGATTCTCGGGCACAATCGAAAGAACGGTTTGGGAATATCGCCATAGAAATGTTCCTGCGCTATTCCATCGTGCCTCTCAAAAGAATAATGTGAGTATACCAGCACAGCTCAAAGTTTAGTTGAAATGCTTCTCACCTCATGCGACAATCCCATGGCTTTTAACCCGATAGAAATCGATGCGATGAATGACGAGGCAAAAGAGCTCACGTCTTTTTCGGTGATTTCCTCGTGTCAAAGCAATTGAAGTTTGATACTAAAGCTCCAACTTGCTCATCACGAAATGGCAAAAAAGTGGGGGAAATTGAAAACGTTTTTCCGGGATTTGAAAACAGTTCTTTGCACAAATCTATCATAAAAAATTCAATCTTTGAAAGTGTGAAGTGTCCTTTCACAGAATTAGGGAGGAAAGTGATTGCAAAACTGTTTTTATTCACGTCCGCAACACTACAAAAATTTCCAATGGGAGAGGCCTTGACATTTAATAATTCATATAAAAAAAGGTAGAAGCGCTGATTTTAAGAATCTGATGGAAAATTACATTTTTCTGCACCGGAAGGTGCCTTCTTTAACATCATTTTAAAATAACGCCGGGCCAAAATGAACGTTTTATCAACAAATACAGTTAAATCTCACTTACGAAACCTATCTTCATCTTATTTTCCTTGTGGTGGTTGAGGAGACATCCCAACAACAGGCCGATCAAATATGGAGATATTCGAGCATGTGCCGGAAAGTAAAGGTCATCCTGGTACTGCAATCGTTTCGGACGACTGTTGACAAATCAGCAAGACAAAACAGATAACTGAGAAAATTATCAGGATTCTATTTTATTTACCTATTTTCTAATACATAGCTTCTACGTAAAAAATACTAAAAATTAACTTGATTTCACGTTTGTCGTGCCGATGCATTCGTGAAACACTCCAGCAAGCATAAAAGTCAAATTCTAAAAGTTGCATTTTTCAACATAGGGAATGCGAAAGTGCGAGAACACGTATCTCCGTTTGCAACGTTGTGGACTTCCGGTCATATTTTATGTTTTCCTTGGAGATCCAGTTAACTTAAGTTCTTGAAAACGTGTTCGATTTTTCTTCTCTGATAGTAGAATATTTTGTGTAAATAATTTCAAGCTATTGAGGTGACTTGTTCCTCTCCAAAAAACTCAACTGGGAGCGGAGATGTTGGAACATCGCAATGGAGATACTTAATATCGCACTTTAACTATCGATTTATTATTCTGTCACCCAACTGTCGTGCTTATTTGGAAGAAAAAGGAAGAAATGGAAAGAATAACTACGAGGATTGACTTACTTATAGCCTAAGATGAACGTCGGGGGATAATCTTTGATGTACGTTATCCAAAATATGTATGAGCATGATGCTAGGCACGTTACAGCGATTAATAGTACTCCACATATCCAATTTTTCAATAGAGCGGACAAGAATAGCGGGGCTACCAAATAGAATTGCATATCTGCGCCTAAGTACCATGTCCATCCAATACACTAAGAAAACAAATTAACATTAAAACTTTGCAATTTGGGATGTAAAATGCAGATGCATTTGGAGCACACCTGAAAAGAGTAAAATTGAAAAGACTCCTAGAATATACATTTTATGATTCCGATTGGATTCTCTTATTATAAATATGTTCAATTCACACGAAATAAGTTTGTCCACATAAAAATGCTGGACGAAATATATGTGCAGTCGGAATATGTGCAATTAGTACCAGTACTTTACATAAGACATAGGATTTAAACTTGAATTAAGATTGAATTAAACGGCGTATACCTAAATCAATTTTGTATCAGGTAAAAAAATGCTTAGATCTGGCACTGCATGTACACTGGAAAAAAATTCTGTGAATCCGAACTAGATAGAAGCATATGAAACCAGGTTTTGTTCGGCACCCACAACCGAATTATAAGCATTTCTTATAATTCAGTTCAACAGACCAAACAGTTTGATTGAGCAGACCGAATAATTCGGTTGTGTGTACCGAACAAAACCTGGTTCCATATGCTAACTACTTCGAATTCGCCGAACTTTTTTTTTTCAGCGATGAAGTGAATACTTAATCATATTCGATATCGGTTTATTTTGGCTTCATATTTTCCTTTCAGTTTTATAAACCACAGCACCTAGCTAATGAAGCTAATGTATTCGAATAACATGACATGCGTAGCTATTCTTTAGACCTACGAAGAAATTTTGCGTGTATCCGAAAAATTGCTACAGAACCCTCCAGTATTCCATCGATTCATACGGGCTTCTTTTATCTTTGTAAAGTGATTTGTCACGGGGAAATTAAGAATCCTCCTAATTGGCCAAGTATTGTTTCAATCTGTACTGTGTGAGTTTTCGAGCTATTTACTCCTATGATAAACACTTTACCGATTCCTCGTGAACGCGTGGCAAGTAATTGTTGATGTATAGGATGTTCGTCCACCAGTTTTTGCGGCACAAATCCCTGCCCGCTCCAACAGATAAATCCCAAAACGGTCCGTCGCCGAGGTCGTAGAAAAACGTCATGACCATAAGAACGACGAAAAAATACGCCGGAGTTAGCCTGAGAAGAAAAAAAGACCCTGGTAAAAATTGGCGATAGGAGCTGCTTTTCAAAATACCATAGGAGTTCTTATAGCCGACTAAAGAAGGCTATTGAAAATCATATAGCTGGCTGTAGAAAGCGGAGCAAATCATATAGCCGGGCTATACGAAGCTATAAAAAAGTATACAGTCGGGCTATAGTTCCTATCGCCGGGCTTTACACTTTATCACCATTGGCTTTAAAAGGTTATAGGATATTGTATAGAAATTCGTGTGCTATGGAAATCATTAAGTTTGATACGGAACTACCTTCATATTTACAAAATACATATTATATTTTCCTTTAAAACATGTTTTTTTCATCAATTAAAATGAGAATAATCCATACAGAGTGTGCAAACATTTCAAAATGATGAGTTGAAAAACGCTGACTCCGCGACATTAAATATTAGAGCCTAACACAAAGCGGAGCGGCAGCGGCGAGGCACTGGCGCCTACAAACCTAACAGGGATACTTCACGCATTGCGCAAACGCGCATTGACGCCTACAAACCTAACAGGGATACTTCACGCATTGCGCAATGCGTGAAGTATCCCTGTTAGGTTTGTAGGCGCCAATGCGCGTATCGAGCCCTCTGCCCGCCCGCTGCGCCGCAGCGTGCCACGGCGTCTGAGGCAACTATTTCACACCAGAGGTATTGCACATTATCATAAGAAATTGAAGGCGCTCCAACATATTAAGAATGACAGGTATCCGTCAAAAGTACGGAGCTTTCCTCGCAAAATAAATCAAGCTACTACGGCACAAAAAGAGAGCGGTAGTCCAAAAACTAACTAAGTCCTAGTATCCGTATTTAGTAACCCTTAGCATAAACTTTATCGTCTGGCTGTTGCTTAATCGCCATCGGCTATGAAAGGCTATAAGAAATTGTACAGCCGGCTATAGAAGCTATTGGAAATCTTACAGCCGGCTTTAGGTCTACAGTATTTTGGAACACACATTCTACTGCCAATTTTTACCAGGGGATCGTTAATTTTCGGCAGTTTTTGACAAAGTTTATTCTGTTAGTTAGAATAATTTGATAGCCGCTCAAATGCGTTGCGTTTTTTCTTTGATTTTTGGGCGCTTCTGGGTACCAGATGCGCCCTTTCCAACCGTTCGACTCCCCCGATGTAACATGTACTATACTACATGCCCTTTTGCCTTATGGGTAATGACGCCATTCTGGTACACCCGGGAAAATTTGATTTTTTTCTGCATCTGGTATTCGTAAAAGTTTTCGTGAAATGTTTTGCTTTTAAGCATAACAATCTCGCACGGACGTATTACCTGGTTAAAGTATTTTAGGGCCTCCTTATGCTTTAAATACTTATATCCGAGGCAGTACTTTCAGATCGATTTGAAAATATTACGAACAGTCACGTGATCTCTTCATTTTAGTGACGTATTACTGTGCTACTTTGTGATTGGTTCATTTTCTTGGCGCAGCATCGACACGTCAGCTGTTTGCGGCATTGAGCGGAAGGTTTAAGGTTATGTCATGGACCAAGAGAATGAATAAGGACCCCCAACTCCAGTTAGCGGAGACATTAGCGCTGCCTATTTTTTCATCCATGGCCGATGTCACCGCCGGCCGGCCGGTCCCTCTCTTCCCCGCGACCCGCGCTTCCCCTGCCCACAGCTGAACTCCTCTTCACGCGGCCCCGCTCCCCCGCGACCTGCGCGCCCTACCTCGCGGCGTCGCGACGCCGCTGTCCGCTAGATCGCGTTGACGCACCAGCATTAGAGGTTCCGCCGCTCTTTCCCGTCGTCTGATTTACAGTGCATCCTTTATGTTTCCATTCACCACCAACTCTTTTTCGTAACATAGTGTTTGGGATAAGTTCCACATCTTCGCGGTCGATCTGTAGTTATGAAGGGTTTAGCGGTTAAAGAATCCCACTCTAAATTCCATCTTCGTTAGACTTCGGGTACATAAGTAGGTAGTAATATGCTTTGTCAAAGAAGCGCCCTTCAACGCTTGGGCGTTGGAACTGCTTGTTTTTTTTTTAATTATAAGATATTTTTCATATATCCGTAAAAAGTCAATCACGTGTGCCACTTCTGATACTACAAATAATACACGAGCCTCATTACGAACTAATTCGAAATAACCCTTAAATTCTAGGCTTTGCAAGACTTGTATTTTGGTCATTTTTGATCGGGCAAAATCACGGACTTAGGAGCAAATCGCCCCCAAGGAATTCAACGTTCATCGTACTAAAGCATCCCTCTAGCATATATTTGAAGGATAAAAAGGGCATCTTGCGGGGATTCCTTCAAAATCTTGAAATTATTCGAAAAAAAATTAAACCACACAACAAATTTTACCTTATTTCTATTTAAAATTTGAGTAAGACCCATCCTTGACCAAAATACATACTTGTAATTGTGGGAAACTGAAGCTTTGTTCTAGCATGCCAGGTTAATAATTTGACATGTAGGCTTGAAGGGAATGATTCCATGGAAAATCAACTACAAAGAATCCGAATTTGACAGCCCCCCTCCACCCCCGCGGTCTCGTTGGTGAAATACAGAGGGGCCTTGCAGTTTTAAAATTGACTAGTTTTTTACCCTTCTCCTCTCCCCGCTTGTACCCTTTTAACTGAACCTCGAGGTGATTCGAGATCGTCTTAGTTGTTAGAAATCTTAACCGTTTAATGCGTTAGGGTGCCAAAATGCATTCCTGCTGTCTTCTATTCCAACAAATCAACTAAACAGCTACTTCAAAAAAAGGCTGAAGTACTGGACCGATCCTATGAAGCTTATTCTCCCTGACAAGAAAACGAAGGATAAGAGAACCCCCAATCAATTTTGATTGCAACTGAAGTCATGCTACCTTGAATGTTACCTCAAGTAACGATACACGACATGCTTGAAGTAGGAAAACTCAATCTGCGCCTTCCTCTCCCTTGTGAAACTAAGGGCCAAAACCGTGCCGCCAATCAAGAAGAAACTATCAACTGCCAAGATTCCGTTCAAAAACAGCATTCCAAGCATGCTATGAGTCAGCTGAAACAGAACAAAAAATTATTAAAAATCCCCCTACGAAATTCTTTGCGATAGTATTGAGTTTTAACAGTGCAAATTTACTTCAAATTTAAACGTATATAGCGTAGAAAAACTTAGTCCTACATTGGTAGACTAATTAGTGCATAAGCTCCAAGTTTTCCTCGCTACTGTAAGGAAGTAAGTCGACTGTGAATGAATTTCAATCCAACATATCTCATGAATGAATTGCATCTGCCGCGAACGTAATAAAAATAGCAAAATCTTAGCAGCATTGCAAGCCTTATACGCCTTTTTCCCGAGAAAGTCCTCAATTGTAGCATCTTCAATCTAGAAAAATAGGAGTTTCGGCTTCCCTCCCAAGCATCCTTGAGACATTCGAATTTTAAGTTGAAAATTAGCCCATATATCTTAATGCTGTCATCAGACTAACCTTATGCACTACCTCTGAGTGGTTGACAATGGATAAGTAGTAGTAGATGTTAGCCCGATGAAAAGCATAGACCGCAAGCGTTGATATAACTCTGATGCCTTGAATATTGTCGATCATGCACCCTGGTGAAGCTGTGTTCAGTAGCACTTTCAGATTCGTTATCAGAGAGAATGATGGTATTACTGAAATGTAAGAATTTCGGTTAATAGATAAAATGTTAAACTGGGATTTGGCTCTTAGAGTCCTAAAGCTCTGTCAATTTATGAGGTTTCGCATACAGCCTTTGTAAAAGAAGATTCCACTATTTGATTTCATTTCATTTCTTTGGAGGGGGGGGGGATCTCACATTGTAAGAGATATTTTTGACGAAAATTTGTCAATAACAGCATAGAAAAATCAATTAATGCGTTGAAGTAAAGAATCAAGCGTATTTTTTTTCATATTTATTTTAGTATTCAACAAGAAACAGTATAAATATATATTCTATGAACTCGTACCCTATGCCAACCAGCTCCATAGGCCTCGAATTCCAACCGTAAATTCAAATCTGCAATGTTGGAAGTTTTTCTAATAATTTTCATTATGCAGGTGAAACATAAAATTTACCAGAATTTGCCGGTTGATAAGGAATTTCGATTGAACAGTACTCGATCCAAGTTGCTGCCAGAACAAACACGATGAACGCTAACGTGAGAAATCTGTAAGAAGAGACAAACGGAAATTGAACGTTAGTACCACAATTCAGACGATTTCATCTTTATCCTGTGCCGTAATTTTAACACTGTGGACAGGGGCAATCTATATTTAAACCAAGGGAAATCAATGAATAAAATTTATAATTTTCCTGGTGCAATAAGAATCTAAACACTAACATCACACGTCTCTCCGCGGCAGGAATGTATGTGCTGTGCTGATTGAATCCATATGTCGATTGAAAAAAAAACGAAATGGCACCCCTACCTTAAATAATCGATGACTTGTTGCTCAGACAAATCATTTTTATCAACACATGCTTCTACAGAGTGTCTTGCAATTTAAACTTACATCATTGACCAAGATGCAAAATCCGGACCATTGTCATCCAACGAACTTTTGCAATGGACCTCTTCGACATGGTCAGCAACACCCTCAAGAGAAAATTCAAGTTGTCTGATGAGATCGTTCGCAGAGCACGAAGCTGGAATGCAAATAGACCACGTCCATTCCTGACTGAAGTCCCACAGCATCACCTGATTGAAAAAGGGAGGGACGAAAATCGAAATGAGTACTTCACTGAGAGAAAAAAAGTCTTACTGCAAAACCTCTAGCTAAGGAAAAACCATGTACTGAGAAGTTCTTGAATTAAGTAAGCAACGGCGATTGAGCGGCTTTTGGCATTTCAGCCAAATGATAGGAGGAAGAAGGCAAAATTTGCATGGGGAGCAAAACTTCACATTCACGGAAATTCCCTAAAACTGATAGAAATTAACCAGTATTGCATTTAGGTGATTCGATGGACGCTATATTTTGTGTCAAAACGACTTGCGGTATATGGCATTGGTTGGTTCCAATTTTTCAGCTACTCGTCATTTTTCTCGAATTTTGAGATCGCAATTCTGTTGTCAGGGGACTTTAGAATTCACTTACCGGTTTTAAATCAACTTGATAAAGGCGTAGTTTTTTCAGAGGAAAAATATAGCATTCGATACTGATATCGAAACTGCAATTGAATGCGATATTTTTCCTCTGAAAAAACCACGCCTTTATCAAGTTGATTTAAAACCGGTAAGTGAATTCTAAAGTCTCCTGACAACAGAATAGCGATCTCAAAATTCGAGAAAAATAATGAGTAGCTGAGAGCAAATTGAATCAATTGATGCGATATATCGCATGTCGTTCTGACACGTTGAGATACTTTCCACGTCGACTAGCGACCGCAATGTGTGGGGCGTAATGCTTGAGGTATTCCTGCCCACTTGCAGGCGCTAATATCCGATATACCATTTCGCCCACCGGGGCTGCCCCACCTGCCATCCATGAAGCAAAGCAGCCAGGGGTCTGCCATTTTCGGAGCCGCTCTTCAACTTTTTTGTTTCATATTATCGAAAATAAAAGCTTTGAAAATTTCCAGATTTTTTCAGACTTTTACTATTGCTCAGTCTACAGTTTGTCTACGCCCTCCGCATTTCGCGAACGACCAATCGGTCGTTGGTTCGCGTACATTCTGCACTCCTGCTGGCGCATGCATTACCCTGGTTCGTCAAACATTCATAAACTTTTTTCACCTTTTCTAGACATAACTATAGTCCCTTTATACTAAAGAGAGTCAAGACAACCCCCCTCATGGAGCCACAAACGGGAATGAAGATTACAAAAATTGATGATTTTTCGCAATCTTTGATCGGCTCATTCTCCAATTCTTCTTTCCGTTCCTTCTCTCAGTCCGTTTGTTCCTTGTCGAACCCGTTATTCCCGGTCTATTCTATATTATAATCTTTGCAATCGGTGAAAATGTAATACTTACTCCCGTTTGTGACACTGTGGAGGCCTAAATACGGGAACCAATCAGAAATGGATTCAAATTGTCTTGACTTTCAGTATGAAGGAACTCTAGACACGACCCATCTTTTTTGAAATTTCCACATAGAGAAGTAATTTTTTGTTCATCCTTTTGATAATAGTTGTCTGAATGTACTTAAAATCACTTACCTCGTGACTATCATTTCTCGTTTGGTTGAAAGTTGCTTTGACCAGACAATACTTCCCAAAAATGTGCATATCGTCTCGGGCTCCATCATCGTGGACGGCCAAACACTCATCATAATTACCAAGGTCGACGATGTTCTTAACCAGAAGGCTCGATGGTATTTTGGAAGATGCGTCAAGCACTGTAAAAAAGTAGAATGAGCGCAGGAAATGGTGATAGGATGAGTCTCAAATTTTTAACATTATTTAGTATTCACCTATTCCACTATTTCTAAGTGGATAAATCAGAGTAGATAATAATGCATATTATGATGAAGCAAATTTCATTGGATTTGATCGACTGCCTCAGTTGTAGAATTGAACATTGATGTTTGAATTTTGCAACTCCGAAGAAAAACGAGAGGAAAAATAGATTTGTCCAAACATGAAGTTCCATCGCTGAATACTGACAGAGACATCACTGTTTCAACTTAGTACTGATGTCATTCATTCGGATTAGGGATATTGGGGTTGGCTTCATTTAGGATTTATGACTCATCAGTATTTTTAACCAGGATAAATCACCGAGTGGTGATTCCTCCACATGCCTCTTAGATGAATCAAAGGTACAATAATTCGATTTTTGCACTACTTCGAAGATGTCAATTACAATAATTATAAGGCACTTCTCAGTTGATTCAGGACGAAAAATTTAACGTTTGGACCGTATCTTTATTCTTTACTAGCAGGAAACCCGTGCTACGCACAGGAAAACCCCACCATCAGCAATCACTGTGATTAGTGATCAGTTACTAATTGTGTTTCTGAATTATTATCTACTATTTCAAAATTGGCGAGACGCACTGGTTTGATAAAAATGCAGAGATTAGTAGTATACTGATTAAAGCTGCTATTTTGGTCTGTTCTGCAGTAAGCGCATGTGATAATTATAATAATAAAAAATACCCAATCAAAAGTTGGTTATTTTCATAAGGATTTGTTACTTTTGTCAGTTCAATGTTTAATTGAAGTTAGCATGGTGAGTTTCAGCCGCGAAAATTACGGGATTTAACCAGCGGTTTCGTCTAATTCTCAGAAATGGCGGGTTTGTCATCTACATCGCGGAGAAAACGTGATTTTTCCAGGGATTTTGTAAAACAAATTAGAAATTACACGATAATCACCACGATATCACTGCAAATACGTCGTGTTCCTAGCGAATTTCTAAGATTATTATAATTGCACGTTATTCACATCAATATCGTGGTATACACGCGAATTTCTGACTCAATTAAGACTACACAATGTGCGCATAAAACTCGTAAACATATGTTACTTGGGATGGGCGAAAACGTATGATTTTCCTTCAATTTTGTATGATACCACATACCCACTCCGGAGTTCAAATAGTTGCTCGTCTTATTTCTGCTCGTTTAAAGTGACGAATTGGAAGAATCCAAATTCAATTTCACGAGAACTATGAAATGTAACCATGTGGAATGGTTTCCTTATATAAGATTTAATGTTTTGAAATAAAAAAAGAAAAAAGAAAAAAAAAGGCATGTCGAAGCTATGTTCTAGTTTTGCTCCGCTGTCAGCACCGCGTCTGCAGGCGCAGTGTGACCGAGCCGTCATCACAGTACAAAACGCCTTCAATCTAGCAAGCGGCAATGTGGACATCCCCCGTGGAGTAATAGTTCTATCAAAAGCGCCTTCCACGATCGGAGTCAAATATTGATGAAATGCGCGCGAAAACCCCGTTTCTCCTCCGATTGCAACGTTGCACATCGTCTTTATGGTCCATTTTGGTTTATTTATTTTATTTTTGAAGCCAAACAACAGCTTCTCTTAAAATTTTCCGAGAATTTGCCCAAATCATTTCCAAACAGAAGATAAAAAAAGTAACAAAAAATAACCCTAGGCGATGTGAAGACTAAATCACAACAATTTATTTACTTTCGGACTTGAGCAGTTAAATTTTCGCAAAAAAAAAGAAAGAAAAAAAACAGAAAACGGAAGGCTCCGCGAAGCACATTTTTCACCAATCTTTTGCACAAAAAAAAAAAAAAAACGGAAGAAAACAAAAGGATCCGCGGAGCAAATATCTCATACTTTCGCAGAGGAGACCAATGCCATAGAATAAAGAGTCTATGCCAATGCGCAGACAGATTTTCCAGATTTTCACATCCCCAAGAGAGTAGCCCGGCAACGGTTGCACGAGTCGGAGCTCGCAAAAATCATGGCGCGGCGTTTCCAACAGCGCTACGCCGAACTCGTTCCATCTTCCTCGCACTCGTTGGACGCCGAACTCCTTCCATCTTCCTCGCACCCGTTGCGCGTACCAGAAGAACACACGTAAAATTTATCAGCTGTCTTCCAGCGCGAGCCTCGGAACTTGCTCCATCTCACTCGCACTCTCTCTCGCACCCGTTGTCCTTTGGGGAAAATCGACACACGCGGACCGCGATATCCCGCGAACCGGCGGGCGGATCGCGAAATCCTCCCTTATCCGGCGCCTCGGGGTAGAGAGGGATCCCAGTGCGGAATCTCAGGGTCACACGGCCTCCCGTTCACGAGATCCGCTGATACGTGAGTCAGTCAGTCAGTCAGTCAGTCAGTGAGTGAGTCAATCAACGTGAAGTCTGCTTTATTAGTATAGATATTAACAGGCTCCTATCATACCACCAAATTAGATTATGGAGTTGGAAGAAATAAGTAAATATTCCGTCACGAAAATCGCACAGATTCAGCCTGAATTAGCCTGATTGTATTTTACCTAGCCAAATTCCCTTTCATGCTTTATATTTTAATATGAAAATTGAGCCGCATATATTTTTGAAAATTTTCGTGAACCTTTCAAGTATTATGAAAAATACATTCACCAAATTACATGCCAGAATTTTGCTTGTATTTCCTGTGATAATGTGAAACATGAGAGGAAAATAGGTAACGTCTAAAGTAGTTACTTACGCTCATTCACGTCATCCTATTCATTCTCATTCATATTTTAAGCTTCATTGAATTTAAAAAAAATTCCGTAAAATTCCTGAAACTCCATTTCTCCTACTTTTAATCCAACAATTAAAATTTTGAAATTTCATTCTTCGAGCTTTCTGATACCATAAATTTTCTTTTTTGATAAGATTCATCTAAAGATCTACGATGTCTATTTTCGTAAGACGTTTCAGTCACTAGCAGATATTTTTCTCTTGATGGCTCTGGCTCCAAACTTTAAATTATAACTCAGGCTGTATTTGTTCACAAGACGGCCCTTTAAAGGTGCGAAGGGCATTGGATCGGATGTTAACTGGACCAAATTTTGCAATAAGGGACCACTATTTCCGGCTAATTTTAGAAACAGCATACAGGGTGCTCCAAAAGTCCCACCCTCCCTCCCCCTGCACAACCTGCCAGAATCATTTTCCCCCAGTCGACTTCGGATTCTTCCCTGTACTTCAATATAGGAAAAATAGGAAAGGGGCTGTTAGCGCCCCCTATATTTTTTTATACGTATTACAAAGGGTAGTTATGGTCCCTTTTTGTCGAAAGTTATTGAATATCTCCATGTACTCCTTTATCATTGTCGATGTTGTTGTTCAACAACATCTCCCTGATACATTAACTTACTCCCCTGATATAATATATTGAGATATATTAAGATATGTTGTGATACAAACATTCCCAAAGTTTCGTTTTTCTACCTATAACCGTTCAAAAGTTAGAGGGGCGGGGGGGGGAGCGGGACTTTTGGAACACCCTGTACATGCCATTGGTTTCTCTATGCAGAAAGGGGCTTTTATTATGGAAGGGCCAGATAAAGTGGGTCCTTGTTGCAAAATGCAATCCGACCGTCAACCGAAAAATACCTCTGAATGTATTATTTTTTCAGTTAAATTCATGCACGTAATGTAACCATCCACAGGAAAAGTTCCTATAGTCCAGTAAAAATTGAGGTATTGATACCATCAGAGTACGGATTAGTATTTGACAAACTCTGAGCGACAAGTGACGTTCAAAAATATCAAACCGGACCAAACATATGGCGGTTTAAGGTCTGCTCTTCAAAAACCACAGTATGATGGGAAAGCTAGATCAAAATACTAAGTCATGTTCAGGATACGAAATTGCTGGAATTTAATTCAACTTTATGCCATTTGTTGTTTTTTTGGGTAGCTAGTGATGTGGATTAAAATGAGGATGTTAGCTCACGTTAAAATAAAAGCATTTATTATGTTTTATTGTATGTCGAATATTTTTAGCCTTGGCAATCGTCATGACTTTAGGGAGATTTAGAGATTAAGAGAAAAACGATTTAACACATTATATAACTTACTTTGGGCAATATTAGTACAAATATAGCTTATTGATATTTGTGGTGGTTTATCTCTTATTAGAGGTGAAGAGATACTATAGATAAGAGAAGACCACCTCAGATATCGACATGCTACATTTGTACTGATATTATTCAAAGTAAGTAACGTATTGTATTAAATCGTTTTTCTATGTGAAGTCCTGACGATGGCTAAAGCCCAAAATCTTCAACGACTAAAGTAAATACTTTTACTGTAATGTAAGTTAACAACTTCATTTCAATCTATATATAACTGGCTACTCAACAAAACAACAAGTTACATAAAATGCTACTACCATAACGTTGTACATCAACACTTCCAAACATTTACGCCATCTGTTTGCAGAAAAATGAGCAAGATCACTCTCGAGTTATTTTTATCGTGAGCATCTATTTATCTTTATTATTTCATGATATAATTGTTGACTTAATTAGTTATTTCAATCTCAAATTATATGCATATCAACGGTGTAACTTCCTGTCATACTCATTTTATAAATGAAAACCCACTCAACGTCTTTTTTTTGAGAAATTTCGTGATTTTTCTTCTCAGTGTGAAGGAAACTCTGAGAAAACTTCAAGGAAAAATATTTATTTGTTCTCATAGAGGATAATTAAATGGGGGCGGAGATTTCAGAACTCTACAAACGAGATACATGGTTGGAGAGTTTCGCCGCCAATATATCCCTATATGGTATTAATTATTTTTCAATTTTGGATTCTGAGAGACGCAAATCTATGC